TTGTGTGTGTGTGTGTGTGTGTGTGTGTGTGTGTGTGTGTGTGTGTGTGTGTGTGTGTGTGTGTGTGTGTGTGTGTGTGTGTGTGTGTGTGTGTGTGTGTGTCTGTCTAATCAACTCTCAATTATGAGAAATAAGGGGAATTCCCGACATGTAGTGATTTTTCCAGCATGGCCTTAATCCATAAAGTTATGAATAAATAAATATCATTATCCACCCATCCATGGTGTGTGTATGCGTGCGTGTATGCGTGCGTGTTAATGTATGCATTACTAACATCCAGTATGGGTCCATTACAGTAGTGGCATCGTGGTGAGAACAAGTGGTGGTAGTCTTTCTCACAGTATGGCTGTCCCTCACGCTCAAAGAAGTTCCTGGAGCCGATCTCATCCTGGCAGTGGGTGCACACAAAGTGCTCGGGGTGCCACGTCCTGCCCATGGCAGTCACCACCTGGTGTGGGGACACAGTGCATTAAATTAAAATGAGCGACTGAAGAAAGGCCTTGCTCAGCAGCCTCTCTTGCAAAAAGCAAAGAGGATATTTCAAACAGCAGCAGGTAGAGATCTCATAACGCCATGTTTAAAAGATGGAAATTATATATTATGTATACAAAATAATCGCAGTGAATTTCAGTTGGATCATGATTCACAGAAAGAATATATTTACTCTTCTAAGTCTCTAAGTAACTTCTGTTTCTATATTGCTCCATTTATTGGTTGCCATTAAGTAAGTAAGAGCTCAAATATTGATAGATTGACTGGTTTTGACCTTGAGCAATCGGCCCAGTCTGAGATACTTGCAACATGAGACAACACCCCAAAGCCCATCAGACGTGTGCAAACACATCTGAAGGTCAATTGTTTTCACCACATTATTAACAGAGAGAAGCAATGATGGTGTTTTACAAGCATATTCTAAATTATGATATCTTTGGAAAGGGTGCGTGTATACCACAGAAATCATGTGTGTACATAAGGGCTGCATGATTTGAAAAATATATTTTGACTGACATTGCAAAAGGGATATGACTCATAGTATTGGAGGGATTGATCATGTTTGAATCATATCAACATATTGATAGTAATAATAGTGTTATTTCTGAAGAGGATTTGTACCACGAAATGTTTTTGTTTATTCTGCCTAATGTGATTTGTAGGCCGGGATATATCTGCAGCTTCACAATACTTCATTCATAATGGTATTAAACACTTTATTATTCTTTAACAAATATTGTGTAACCTGCAATTGTAATATTGCACTAGTACATAATATTGCGACTTCGTTACACACCTAGTATAAATGTATCTTAAAGCATGCGAGTTTAAATTCAGTATGTGCTACAGTTGAAATCTTTATTGTTTGTGTATGATTCAGTGGTATCTTTACCTGTCCAACGATGGGTTTCTTGCAGGCTCCGCAGACACCTTTAGCCACCGTCTGGACCCCGAGTCTGTTGAGGTCGGACTGCAAGCTTCCCAGCATGTTGTCCAGCTTGTTGGCCGGTTTGGGGGGACCGGTAGAAGAGGTCTTTCCCTGGGACTGGATCTGACGAAGATAAAAGACCAAAGTGGCTTCAAAATACCGTTCTCATTCTTTGCATGACCATTTCTTTGACTTACCTTGTTGTAACATTAAATCCTTTTGTTAACCTCATATCATTTATGTAACGGTCTTTTCAATTGTTCCTTACAATGGTCTCTCCCTGGATTTCTGGTATTAAAACAGGTGAACAATCTAGATGGTCGGTAGCTGTCTCCTATTTCTCGATGATTGATTGAAAAATACTCAAATAAGCCATGGACATATGAACTAGGACCAACTATGTTCTCATCAATCCTAATCCATGTTTGCAGGCTTTGATGATGACTCTTCTATATCAAAATGGTGTGTGTGAATGTCTGTCCGGCTACTGTAATGTAAGCAAACAGTCCTTCTCAGATGGTGAAGTTATTGGAGCTAGATGACTCTGACATTCCACAGAGGGAAAAAATAGCACCTCTGCTCCATGTATTCTCCCTCACACACACGCATAAAATAGACAGGCATCTCAAGCTTTCAACATGAAGGTAATTATACTCAATCCTATTAATCGCCTGCTCTACAAGTCTACAACAGAACAAAAAAGACACTATGGATTCTAAAAGAGGGGCATTCAACTTCAACATGCTGGAATCTAACCGAGTGGGACCTGTTGACGGAAGTCCTTGTGGGAGCGGCTATAATTGTGTTGGTAACTGTGCTGTCATGTGCTAGATTAGGTTTCAGTTGCACTGCGAGTCTACCATTCCTGTGCATGGCTGGACCGTTAGTGTAACAGGAACAGGGGTTACACTCTTCTCGTCTTCAAGCTCTTAAAATCTCCTCTCGACTCTGAACACACAGCCCTTGGCGCCGTCAGATGTCAGAAATAAAAAGTATCTCAGTCTCCTTTAAATGTCAGCACCTCTCATAACCAGGACTGTCCGGGTTTCAGACAAAGCTTTACAGAGGCTACCTGTCGGCATGAATGGAAACCCAAGGTCAAAAACTCAGCCAATGAGCTGGGGAGTTATTTAGTTCACATAAATATAACTGCAACTGGATATTTGAACTAATTGACGCACACCATGTCTGAGTGAGACAACTTGAAGTTTAGAAAAAGGTCAGAAAAGAGGAAGAGGAAGAAATGTGATCCGTGCCTGCATTGGTGGAAAGATCGGGTCGTACTCGGTCTGACAACCCACTGATACAAAGACCTTGGGAGGCGGTGGTGGTGTCACAGGCTTGGGAGGGGGGCTAGGTGATGGAGGGGGCTGGACAGGGGGGGGCGTGGTCCCTGGGGGGGGGAGTGGGCTGCCTCGGGGGAGGAGTGGGGCCCCTGGGGGGAGGAGGGTGGTTTCTCCGTGGAGGGGGGGAGGGGTGGTCCTCGTGGAGGGGGAGGGGTTGGAGGGGGAGGAGGAAGTGGTGGAAGGAGTCCTGCTTATGACTGGGGGTAACTTTTTGGGCGCAGGGGGAGATGCGGAGGGGGGATAACTTTTCTCTGAGGGGCAGTGATTCTGGAGGGATGAAATGATCTGGGGTAAGAAGGAAACGGCAAAGACAGGAGAGCAAAACAGATGACAAAACAAAACAGGGGGTCAAATGAGGAAAAAAGAAACGGTGGATAGAAACAAAATGTGCACGTTTATTGTTTTTAAATGTGACCAATGGCAAATACAATATATATGTGATTAATTAATCATATATATAAAAAAATTTATGTTTGGATAGATGACCATAGTCCCGAAAACTATCATTACGAACTCTTGGTCTCACTCTAGTGCCACTGACTCCTGCCTGTGCCCCCTCTAATGTCTACCTTATCCACAGATGGTGGCCCTTTCTGTCTCGTGGTTCGCTGTGGGTTGGACATGACGATGACTCCCTCTGTCCCTCCAATCATCCGGCTGTGTTTACCGCTTGCGCTCCCACTTCTCGCCACACCCCAGGTTTCCCACTGCAGTTCATAATGAGTCGATCTTGCGAGTTGCTCTTATTCACAATGACTGGCCCCATTTTACGCCGTAACATTGCCTCCCTGAACAATTGGATCACATTGGAGGTCTCCTTGGTCCGCCGGATAACGTTCTTCAGTCTTGGAGAATAGATGATACAAATGGAGGTGTGGTCGTGGAATTTAAGTCCATGTTGGGGTCACAAACATAAGCACGACAGCCCCAGGCCAAGAGGTCTCTTCAGTGGCAAAAAACGCTCAAGCAGTGGCTTTAGAANAGGCAGGCAGGCAGCTTTGAATGACATTCTTCTGGACGTGTTTCATTGTGGTGATAGTGAGGGTAGCCAATCCTTTTGTTGACAAGACAGTAGCCTAGTGATGGCCATCTTGGTGACGTGTGTTGTTCTGCTAGACCTGAGATGTAGTTCATTCAGCGTTTCACACAAACACAGTTTTACGACAATTTTTTTTTTTTGACTTGCGAAATTATCTTTTAAATTGACAAACAATGTAATTCGTGGCACAATTCAAACGGGATCGAAAGATAATCTTTCTCTCTCCATTGACTTCAATGCATAACTTTTCAGAAATAAGGTCCCATGGAGCTCCCCCAATAGAGGGACTTCGCCACTCTATTGCCATCCTGATTAATATGAGGAAACGTCTCTCTGTCAGGCAGGAGAGAAAGGTTAGCAGCTATTAGCCCATCCTCCTTGCCCCCTTTCAGTCTTCCTGCCTGAATACAAAGGACACCAATAAAGAAAGCAGGATGTCCTCGAGGGGAGGGGGTATGATTCTTTACTGACATGCTATCAGTCAGTACACACACACACACACACACACACACACACACACACACACACACACACACACACACACACACACACACACACACACACACACACTGAGGCAGAGACCTACATGCGTCTTTCATCTTGCAGTGAATCAGTTGTGCAAGCAGAATAAAGAACTGTAACACACAGAAAGTGTGCTATAAATGCACACACACATTCAGACACACACAATGAGAGATGTGCACACATGGCTCTGTGTATTTTCACTGTGGTTGAGCAGGTTGTTATGTAACTACAATTTCCCATAACAATGGCAGAAATGGAAAATGAAACAGTAATAGCAGGGGCGAGAATCAAGTAATTGAGTGTAATTCCACACCTCGCTGTGATAATTGGAGGCTTGTGATTGGTTGTTTGACCCTCTATAGTGTTACATCATGTGCATTTATTCACTAAAATTGCCTCTCCTCATTATCAGGTGCAAGCCACCTTAATGTTGTATTTTATCACGTTAAAAAGTATGATCTGGATTAAAGAATATTAATTGTGCCCTCATAAAGAAATGTTTAGACCCTAACCCTAATAACACTGCAGGGTAAGTTACAATAACATACAGTCACAACACACTGCAAACAAATGTGTTGAGTGGCTGATTTAGCCAGATGTGAAAGATGTGAATCTTTTAGGGGATTTTAGAAATGTACATTAAGATCAAAATAACTTTTCCCACAAATACAGGCAACACGCACATGGCAAACGCTTGTTCAGAGTGAAGAAAAACGAGAAATCAAACCAAAGTTTTAGAAGTGTCCAACAGCACAAAAGGGGAACATGAAAGGCTACAATAGGTGGCCAGAGGGGAAATGAAAGTGAGGACAAAAACAGCTGGACACAGTAGGACAATGACCTGGATATGGTACTGTGAACAACTCAAGTTGGGCCTATGGAAAATAAGCTCACACCTTAGGGCTGTAAAGATTTGAGGCCCACATAAAGAACGTGAAACTTCTAATACATATTAACTATATTCTGAAGTGCTCACGTTGACAGGAGAAAGTGATGGCAGCAGTAAACCCCAAAATGTAAAAGAAGCAGGAAGGTTGCGCAGAACATCACAACAGAAGTTATGCAGCCTAAGAAGTGTAGAGGAGCAGGACCAGGAGAAAGAGGGGGCCCCTGAAGTGCCTTTAGAAGCTGTTGGAGGAAAAGAAAAGTGGTCAACTGCAGTTGCTCTATAGGGAAGTGTACAACAACCGAGTAAATGCCAAAGCATTGCGAGAGAAGAAGTCTTTGGCACCAGAGGCTGAGTTTGACTCGTCAGAACCTGATTAGAAGACTTCACTAGAAAGACACAGGCAGGGTCATCACAAATGTAAATGTTTCTATCCCACCTAAATCACCACATCAAAGGGGAGATACTACCTGCCAGAGGAAATTGGACAAACCTTGCAGGGCTACTTTGAAAATATCCAAATTAGGTTCGCTGTCTGGGATAACTCAACAGATAAGAAGACTAGAGTTGTGCTTTATCAACGGGTGAACAATATTAGTGCCCTGCTCATTTTAGCCATTGCTCTTTTGTTCAATTCTGCAGAAAGACCAAGTTGAAGACAGATCATAATGCAGAAGGAACGACAATCACCAACATGGGCCTTCATAGGCCATTTTAACTCTGATGCTGGGCGGCTTGGAGAAACTCATCACATGGGACAGGCTTTTAAATCAGGCAAATCAAGAAGTCTGGAGCTAAAAAAAAGCAAAGTGGACAATAGAATATGATTCAAAGTCAGGTTAATTCAGAAATGATGCAGCCTTACAAGTGTAGAACACCACAGCAAGAACAGGAGAAAGAGGATTCTCCTGAACTGTTTCAGAAAATTGTCGGTTGAAAGAAAAGAGGACAACTCCAGTTGCTCTAGGGCAGGGGTCGGCAACCTTTTTGATATGAAGTGCCATTTAAAAAAATAATTGTTATCAGCGTGCCAACGATCGAGGATTATCAACGGGGGGTTGAGGAGCTTGACGCTCGTCAACTATCAGCAGGAGGGCAGGGGGGCCTCGCTGCGGGGAAGCAGTGTGTGGACCTGTCAGCGCAACTTACATGATGCCAAATTTAACAAACACATTTAAATAATTGGTTTAAACGGCATAATAATAAGGACGATCGTCCGTTTTGTGATTCTCCAGAGCACACATGCTATGATATTAGGGTCATGCAGAGTGAGATGAGATCGCTGTCCCTTTAAGAGAGAGAGAGAGAGGGGTGTGGCTTTTGCATGTGTGTTTGTGGATGGTAGAGCGACAGTGAGAGAAC